ATAGCCTCCTCACTGGGGGATGGACAGCAGAGAAAGGGCGGAGGGGTCGTCAGACAGTGTAACATGACAAAATAATAATAATTTGTGAATTATGAAGGGTTCATGAGGGAAGTGGGAGTGTGGAGGGAGGGGGGAAAATGATATTAAGGGCTCAGGTGGAAGGCAAGTGTTCTGAGAACGATGGCGGCAACAAATGTACATATGTGCTTGACACAATGGATGCATGTATGGATTGTGATGGGAATTGTACGAGCCCCCAATAAAATGATTTAAAAAAAATCATTGTAAGTAAATGTTTTGGCAAGTAACAAAAAATAGCAAGACATATATCTTGTCTCCCAGTATTTCCTCCCATCTCAACACCCTAAGTCAATCCCACCCACTGTGCTGACTGCGTATTTACTTGTCTGTGTGATTAACCCACAGGTAGACTGCCAGCACACAGCCCACAGCAATCTCTGAGTAATTTATTCCATGGATTTTGAGTGAGTGTGTTGTCAGCACAGAGTGGTGACAACAGTGGTGGTGCAGTTGCTGTCCACTAACAGAAACGTGGGTGTGAGTCTGCCATTCACTCTGCAGGAAGAAGGGGCAGCCTGCTTCTGCGCAGACTGCAGCCTGAGAATCTCTACAGGGCAGTTCTACTTCATCCAGCAAGGTCGCGTGGTCAGAACCTACTGGTTGGCAACTGGCTTGATTTTTGGTGATGTTTCAAAATCTGATTCTGAGAGTAAATCAGAAAAATCTTTACGAAGCCAGACACATCTTACCAAATAAGCTCGAATGCACAAATGCTCTCTGATGGCGTTATCATCTTCAGCAGGAAGTGGACTCTCCATTCCTTGTTCTTCCCACTGATTATAGATTTCTGCTATAGAATCCTGAGGAATTTTCACAAATACTTCTTTTGCAGCATCATGTTTCTTTGATGCTGTGGTGAGAAAAATTTACAGGTTTTCAATATACATACAATTCTGTGCAATGCTTTCTAAAACAATCAAATTATTGATCTGCCACTTATAGAGAATTGTCCCCTCTTCAGGTCCCAGTGCATGACTGTCAGAAGTCTGGGGAACCCTCTGACTTAATGCTCTGGCCTTTTCTTTATCTTAATATGATCCGACACAAAGGCTACCCTAACTGCAGTTACTCCGCTGTAATTTGGTGCCTTTAAAGGAAATTGCTTTTCAGAGTCTGAGAGCTTAAGAGCATATATACATTCAAAATTGATGGGAAGAATAAAAATTCACTGATACATATTGCTTGTTTCATAGTACCAGATTTGATAAGTAAAAGTGTCTATTTTATTTTTTTCTGTTCCCAGTGGAAGAATTTGTAAAAAGTTCAAACAAAACTGAACAGTATATAAATTTGAAAAAACAAACAGATCGCACATACCTAAGAATCCCCTCATGATTGCATTGCCTTGCCTTAGAGCTTCTGCCCTCTGTGCTGGGTCAAACACCAGCCAGCCGATCCCATCGATCTTTACGCGGTCTTCCTAGACAGTTATAGAACAAGAGTGGGTAAGGAAAAATGGCTTTCGCTTTTGGTTTCTTTTACCTCTATGATCCTGAAAATTAATAAAACGATTTCACATCTAGTGAACATAATTTTCTTTAAAATTATGCAAATTTATGAAAGAATAAAGCTTTCCTTAATCTATTCCATATTTAATAATTCTCTAATACACTACAGAAAACACTTGCTAGATTACTAATCTAGGATTAGACATTTTATTTCCCATTAATTTAATGATGTGATTCCTTTATGTATAACTTCAAGAAGTGTTCTTTCCTAAACATAACTTTTTATTCTTTCCTGAAAATATAAATATATAAGTTACATGAGAATTATTTAAGTATTAAAAAATAACTTGAAAAACAAATATCCACTCAGATTCTTTCTCTTCAAACAGAAACAAAAATGTTTTCTTTAAAATGCAACGACTGTACGTAATCTTAGATAAGGCTTTAAATTTATGACCAATTTTTATACTCTAAAAGGTTTTGGCTAACAAGGAAGGAAATGACTACACTGTAAGTTACAAAGCAGGCTTCCAGGGGACCATCATAAAGATGACTGGCCACCCCTCAAATTACCTCAGTAGTGCCGGTGTCGAGAGCTGGTGCCAGGTCATGATGACTGAATTCACCGGTGTCTTTCCTTCGAATATTCTCAACCACGGTTTTGGTTATTGTTGCAACATCCAAATCTGAAGAATTTTTTTAAGGGACAAAAAAACAGACTGAGGCAAAATATACATTCATGATGATTTGGTAAATCTGGAATGGTAATTATTTACAAATATTGCACAGAGTATGAAAAGCATTATAAAAGAAAATGCCCAAATTAAAAGCTATTATACATACATACACACACACACACACACACACACACACACACACACACACACAAAATAGTACCGTTTATATTATTCCTAAAGCAGAACTGAACTGGAAATTTTACTGATTTCTTCTCCCCCTCAGGAGAAATGAGTGAAATGTGGTTTAATGTTATTAAAACCACAAGGACATTATTCCTTAGAAAAGCCCCCAATAGATGAAATTCCCAACCCTTCTTACCTGCTTCTTTAGCCAGCTCTAGACAATGGTGCCGCTCTTGAAGTTCTGTAACGCCTTCCAAAAACAATGCATACTGGGCAACCGCTAGGTCTTGAGGTAAATGACAGGCATAAAATGCTATGAGACTTGTATGCTTTTCATTTATTAGAAGCTGGAAAGCAGAAAAAGATGAAAGTATGTCAACAGTAATTTCTAGGATTAGCATTACTTTTTAAATAGCTTTCAAAAAATAGCCGTTAAAGTTTTAAGTCCATTTACACATAAAATGGAGATTCACCTTGACATGGATTTGTGCTGCTAAACAGAATCTTAAATTCAAAAGAAATGTACTAATGACAATTTTAAAAGCTCTCACATAGATTCTAATGACTTTCATGTCACTATGTATTAAAATAGTGCCAAACTTGGCTTTTGTTTTCATTAAAAGAGGAGGGGGGCACGGGGAGTCAAATTCTAGACTCTCAGGCTTACCTGTATGTATGTCTTCAAAACGTCAACTGAAACTTCTTCCTTCAGAGGGAAATAAGACAATCCATAACTCAATTATAAAAACAACTGCTTATATGTAACAGAAACATTTCTAAGAAAAAGTCAGCCATTGAATCTTTTAATCATCTTAACGTTTACCAGTGGCCAAGAAATACATGCCAGGTCCAGTGCTTGGAAAAGTTCATGTATTGTCAGATTCAGCCTTTTGTAACGCTTTGCATTTAGTTATTACTATTGTTCGCATTTTCAGACGAAGAAACCATGACCTAGAGAGGTTTTAACTCAAACTCACTGTCATCGAGTCACTGCTAACTCAAAGCAATCCCCCGTGGGTTTCCCAGACTGTAACTGTTTACAGGAGCAGAAAGCCCAGTCTTTCTCCTCAGAGCTGCTGGTGGTTTCGAACTGCTGACCATGTGGAAGGCAACCCAACTCATAAGCACTACGCCACCAGGGTTCCCAGAATTACAGTTAGAAGCTGCCAAGTCAGGATGTGAACCCAGGATATCTTAGTCCAAAGTCCAACCTTTAACCTAGTACATGTACTCTGCCAAAAATGCTCTGAAATATTTAGAAAAAAACCCAGAGGTAGTTTAAAAACTCACACTGAACTTATTAGTCTGGCTCAACACGCTTGACTGTTTGCTTTAAAGCTGAATACTGATGAGAATAAAGTTAGGAACTTATAAATCACTGGGTAACCACCATATTCCGCAGCCAAAGGCTGAAGTCTAAAGAGCCACCGACAGTGAGTTATCACTGAACGATCACAAAAGCCTTCTGTACCCTTACCACCGTTTCTAGAAAATCAAAATTAAAACGTAGTGTTTTCCTGAAGAGAAACACATGGCATTAAGTTTCAAAGCAAGGTAGACCTTATTTACTTTGGTCTGTAGCCCCAAAGTCCGGAAAAACAGAATGAGATGCGTCATGAAGCGGAGGAGGTGTCCAGGTAGACTGTTCCTGCCTTTGGAGAGCCATTTGCTAAATTCATCCATCAAACCTAAGGCCACGGGGAAAAGAGGTTCAATAAGGGAGACACCCAAACGAGAGAAACAAACCCTGCCAGGAGCACTGACCTCATTCCTGTCCCAGTTAATAGCCGTCATATAAAACTGCAACACTCTGAGACAGACTTTGTTATTATTCTATGAAACAATTAAGCGAATAATTGTATTCAAAGGGTTATTATTTAAAAAGATTAAGATATGTGCGTCATATACATTGTTTTGATATACCTTTCACAAAAATTATTAAGGGAAAACAGAGAAATATGAGGTAAAACAATATCTTACCATCAATGTCTCCCAGGATAAGAAATTT